TTAAAGCCAAGTATTATTAGGTTCGCACGCTCACGCGAGCCCTTCACAGTGTGATGTGGAAGTTCAACGAAGAAGAGGAGAATTATAAAGAACGTTGCAAGAAGAAAATCACCGATTATCTGAAAATCCGTGGGTTACCTAGAATTATGAGTTTTACTGGTTTTGTTGGAGACCTTTCATTGAAGAGGATATCAAGTTGACGGATGACGAGATAAGCGATGCTATTGACAACGGCGATATTTTCGAAAGGACAAAAGGTGTACGTTATTTCTATTTTCTTGCTTGGTTAGCTCATTTTCTTTTCCTTTTCTTAGATCCTCCTTGCATATAGCGACAAAAAAGCACTCTTCGAGGACGTCAAAGCACGACGTGATGAATTGTTTGAGATCGAGAAGGTCATCCGAGAACTGGGTGAAATGTTTGTGGATCTCAACAATCTTGTCATGAGTCAGGTTAGTTTCTATACCTTTTTCGTGAAAATTCAAATCTTAAAGATTTGTGAGGCAATGGATTCTTCTAGGGGGAAATGCTTGACCGGATTGAGACGAATATCGAAGATGCGGTGGATTATGCGGAGAAGGCGAAGCAGAATGTCAAGGATGCTCGGGAGCTTATGAAGAAAGCACGAAAGGTGCGTTTATTTCTTGTCTCTGTTTTCTTTCCCCTTTGTTCATTTCTTGTTTGTTTTATTTCATGATTTCCAGAAGAAGATCATAATCTGCATAGTTCTCGCCATACTGGTTCTCATCTTGATTATCTTCATACAGGCGATGATTTGTCATTTCACTCCGATTTGCTAGTCGTTCCATATTTCTACTCTGTTAAAGATTTGCTCTTTTGATGAATCTGAGATAACCGCAGATACTGTTATTTAGTTTTTAGCCCAGCTTTATCGCAATAATCACTTATGCTCATCTTATGTCGTTAATTCTCCTCCAGTTGTGATTACGCGTTGTAATTTATGGATATTTATGGGAAAGATCTCAGGTGCATACTTTACATTCACTGCGATCAGCCTTTCCTAACCCCGATTGTGCCTAGTGGTTCTGGACCTCACATCCAGAAACATCATTAATACTTAATTTTAGTAATTTTTTAGTAATTTCATGTTGGCAGTCTCTAAGAGTGTCATCGAATTTATTGTCCAACGAGTACTTCGAGCTATCACGATTTGTAGTCAATCTCTCATTCAATCACTTCTCATTATGCCTTAGTTGCTCTTCTTCGTTTAGCGTTCAGGGACATTTTTTTTCGCATTTTGCAGATTTGCTCAGTAAAGATTGAGATTTTATGAATGTTCTTCTATGAACTGGTTTGCTACTGACCATCTTTTCTGTATGATTAGTCCATTCATAATCATCCTCCTTTGCTATGTTTGCAGAAATGAGTTCCTCCGGCGCTGACGGAAAAGAGACGAAAAGTGAGAGTTCTTACAATGCTTTCTAAAAAAGGCAAAAATTACTACCGCTCTTCAGCATATGGGGGTTGCGAAGGTCCTGATGCTACCTACGTCAAGCTGGTCAGCAGTGACGGCCACCAGTTCTTCATTAAAAAGGTGTATAACTATTTATTCTCCGTGATTTACTTTTGATATGTCTACAATATAACGTTCAGGAGCTTGCTCTTACTTCCGGTACCATCAAAGCAATGCTGAGCGGACCCGGACAGTATTCCGAAAATGAAAGCAATGAAGTGAATTTCCGTGAGATACCGTGAGTCTTGGATAGAACAACTCTTTTTTTTTGTAATCTTCACATGGTAGTGACCTTTTTTATGTTTGAACGATTTTTTTTATAATTTATGTCTATCTGTGTAGTCGTTTTTGATAGGAAGAGTCATTGGCTGCATAGGCAAGAACACTTTTGATGATCTATACAAATGCACTGTACAAAAAGCGAGGGAATGCCTTTGAGAGTGAACTAAATTATTCAGATCACACGTTCTTCAAAAGGTCTGCCAGTATTTTGCGTATAAGGTTCGCTATACGAGTTCGGCAACTGAGATCCCGGAATTCAACATTACTCCCGAAGTCGCGCTCGAACTGCTTATGGCTGCCAATTTTCTCGACTGTTGAAGTGTCATACTTCAGAAAACGATCTTTTGTAAAATAGCGTAA